CGCGGGTAAAACCCTTTGGCACCTGCATACCCATTTCTTTCATTGGATTTCTGATTTCACAACACCCACAATAACTTCGAGCACTCACACCCACCGAAATCCCGCACAAACACACTTGCATATTTGGAGCTCATTTATTGTTCAACATTGTTAAGTAACCATCATCGTCCGAGTTTTTTTCCGCTTTTTTTATAATGTTTACATTTGGCGCTTTGGCCCAAATATTCTGAAAAAAAGCTGACATCGGTTCCCAACTTGAATCCAAATGTTCGAGTGGGAGTGGGATGGCGAGTGCTGCGGGCCGTGTCTTTCTTTTTCGGTTGGCCTACAGTAATCATTGTCATGCAGGCGATTCTGCTTCATTATTTTGCCTGCTGTACCCACGCTGTTTCCCATCTTCCCCTTTTTCTTTAACTCTCCTCGTCTTCTCCCACTTGATGGCTATCGTAATGAGCTTTAAGTTAAGGTTCTGATCATCATCTCATGATGGTTTTTTTCGGTTTTTTTTTTGGGAACGAGATGAAGATGCTGCTGGCGCATCGCCATCGTCATTTGTTGGTCACGCTGAGACTTTTGTTTTAAATTAACTTTGGCTTCGCTGGGTCCATTGATTTTTTTAGAGATTTTGAAGGAAAAACGTTCGATAAATTTAGCACTTTATTTATTCACGAATTTATATTTGTTTTACTCAGGTAATATTAGTAATAATATATTACTTATTTGTAATGTTTATAGTGCACCAACGTTCAATAACTTAAAACAGCTTATGTATTTGTATATTATAAAATTAATTAAAGCCTTTTAAAATAGCACAGAGTAGTAAACAATAAAGCTTTTTAATTTACTGGATCTAAAGGAATTTAATTTTAATGTATTTAACACACCAGATATTTCCTTTTGAAGAACTGATATTAGAATTAAATTTAAATATATTTTTAAATTTATTAAATCTCCTGTCTTAAATACATTTTCCTAGAGCATTTAATTTTCGACTGTAAACTGTAAACACTATTTTCTTTCGATTTCATTGCCTCTGCCTTGCTTGCTTAACCAATATTTTGCCGCTCGATAATGAAAGGAAAGCAAAACGGGCGGTTTGAGGAGCTGGTTGCGGGGGATGGATCGTCGTAGTCGGTCAGTCAGGTCCCAGTCCCCAAAAGCCACAAGGCCCGAAACACACAACAAAAGCTTATAATCATCAAGAGTGAATCTGCTGGTGAAATGGCCCTGGTTGTTGTTTTGGTTTTTGCTTTTTGCCTTTCGGCGGCGGCAAAACGCACACACAGTCAGTCATCATGTTTGTGGTTTAGACTTTGCTTTCTTTTGCGGCGGTGGGGATTTCATAATATTTGCATTGGTGTGGGCATTTTTTTCTGCCGCACAGGTGTTTGTGTGACCCACTTTCGGAGACATCCCAGCGAGATGCTTGAGAAGTTCTGACAAAGCCCGAAAACCAACAAAAAACGCTCACTGAATGATGCGTTGGGCTCTTCTCGGAAAGGCTAATATTACACTGGCTAAGAGTCCAATTCATTCGAATGGGAGACGCGATCGTGATACTCCCAGGGCAATAAAAAACGAACATATGAGTTGCTAAAATTCCGATATGGTTACAAACATTAATTTGCCCAGAATAAAAGCAATTGAATATCAGCTTTAATTCATCCGAAAATTATACATACTACCTTTAGGACCCATTACCCATTTGTATTTTGTAGTCAATCATTTTAGAATTTATTTATTCAACTATAACTTCTAAATTTACTTAACAATGTTTTGGATAGATACAAATTTGGAATCCGAATATATAAAATAGTATAGACAAAAGGAGAAGCTTAAATTCCGAAATACATAGTTCAAGTAGAGCTTTTAACATACACTAAATCAAGTGGAAACTTTTTAGATGGCAACTCATTCTCAATATTTAGATAAAGATAACTCAGAAGATAAAGATAAAACAGAAGATAAGAGCTAAAGTTGTTGATGAAAAAATAGTAATGGTACTAATTACCATATAGATTAGATTATTTAATGATAAACCTTATCAGCTTGCACTTAAGTATAAAAAGTATATTTGGAGGGGTCTTGGAACCATTTGAAAGTCGGTGGCAGCTATGACCTATCAGCCCAAAACTAACTACGATGACGTGGAAAAGATTTGGAGAAGTGAAAAGGAGAAATCCCAGTTTGGCGAGGATCTGTCCATTGGCGAAATTATATTTCAGGAAATGGTCCGCCATCCCAAGAGTGTAGCGCAGGTAAGTAATAAAGGGCAATGAGGCGCTTACTATATAATTTCGAAATTCCTCTGCAGATTTCAGACTCGGAGAAAACGATCCTTTTGCGGGAGGATCTGTTGAATAATGCTATTCGCATCGCAACTTATATGCGCCAATTGGGTTTAACTCAGTGGGACATCGTGGGCGTTCTTGCTCGGAATACCACCCATACATCGGCCGTTGCGTACGCATGTTTCTTCAATGGAATCGCCCTACACTCGCTCAACTCCACCTATTTACCAGAAATTATTGAGAAGCTGTTCCAGAACACCAAGCCACGTTTAATATTCTGCGATGGTGATGAGTACGAAAAAGTGCGTGCGGTCACCACGAAGTTAGATGTGAAGATAGTGACAATGCGTAATCATCCAGAAGGTGCTATCAGCATCCAGGAAATTTTAAAGACGCCAGCGGAAGTGGGTTTCAAGCCTACTTCCTTAGAAAGGGGATCCTCGCATCCATTGGCCATCATCAGCACCTCCGGCACCACCGGCACTCCCAAAGCAGTGGTAGTGCCCAATTGCCGAACTATTCTGAGCACCCTAACGTAAGTAGAATTTAGGCAGTTGGGTTAATTAAACAAGGAGCTAATAAGAAAATGTTGCATATCAGTAAACTAACCACCTCGGATGTCCAGTACTCAGCCAGTACTCTGGACTGGATCTCGTGTCTGTGGACGGTGGTTTCCTCGGGAGTCTATAGTACAAAGCGAATTGTATCCGACGAACCTTTTGATCCGAAGGAAACTCTGCGCATTATCGAGGATTACCAGGTCACTTGGGTTATCCAGGCTCCAGCCCAAGCTGCAGCTATTGTCAGCTGCTCAGTCTTTGAGAAAGCCAACCTAGATAGCATTCGATATTATAATTTCGGAGGTGGGCGATGTACCATGGAAGTTCAGAAAAGACTTCGTCGAAAATTGGCCGGGGATTATCTAAACTTTGCCTATGGCACTTCGGAATTGGGATCGCTTGCCTGCGTCAACAGGCACTTCGATGCGAAACCCAATGCGGTGGGACGTCCGAGTGCTGGCTACAAACTAAAGATTATCGACGACAAAGGTGGTAAGCTAGGACCCAACGAGGAGGGCGAGGTGTGTGTTGACAAAGGAAGCTTTTGGCCCGGATACTACGGAAACCCAGAAGCTACGGACAAAGTTTATAAGAACAACTGGATTCACAGCGGTGACCTCGGATACGTGGACGACGATGGCTTTGTGTACATCGTAGAGCGAAAGAAGGACTTGCTGAAGTACCAGAGCAACAAGTACTACCCACACGAGTTGGAGGAACTGATCTCCCAAATACCCGGCGTGGTTGAGGTCTGTGTCTTTGGCATTTGGAACGTGGAAAACGGTGACGAGGCAGCGGCAAATATCGTCAAGAAGCCAAATGCTCTGATAAGCGAACAGGATGTGGAGGACTATGTGGCTCGGTATGCAGTTACCAAGTTTTTAAGGCTGCATGCCGGCTGCTTAATTGTTGACGACCTGAAGAGAAGTCCCAATGGAAAAACCAACCGTGCTGCCAACAAGGAACATTTTCTCCAAGCAAAGGGTATTCAGATAGATACGTAGAAAATAAACACAGGCAATATTTGTTTTCACTTAGCAATTTTAATTTTTCAATAATAAATATATTTAATATTTTAAACAATTATTTATTTACCAATAGAGTGGCGCCACCATTCGGTTTTCAATTTGTAGATATGATGTAGAAAAAATGTAGACACTTTTGGTAAGTGGCGTGCTTATCGATATTTCTTCAGTTATCTGACTTTTGGCGCAATATTTAAAAAAATAATATTTTTTTATTCTCAGACGGATAATTAGGAATTATATAATTTCATACAAATATATAAGCGAAAAGACTACAAAGCTAAAACGACCTTGACACTCAAAGATCAGGAAAGTTATCAAAAGGTTCAATCAAAAACATTGATTAGGAAAAACGACAGCTCAATAAATAGAAATCGTGGAAGCCATAAAATCCTCATCATCATCTCTACGAGTCGTTTCCTACTATGCCCCACTGATAAGCCCCAGTCTGGCGAATAAGTTGACTTTTGTCGTAAGTCGACTGTCTGGAAATTGCCAGAGATGTTAGCTCAGAGAAATGCCATTAAGCAATTGATTTCCGCACCCCATAATAATGTTTACTGACAAAACGCTTCTGAAAGGAGTGTGCAAAGTTGTGGGTGGGGAGAATTTTACTCTTACAATGTCACAATAAAAAGTTCTCTTACACAGAAAAAATATAAACATATGGTGGGTAGGGTACACCATTAAATTTTTTATATTTTTTTAAGCTCACTTCCTATATACATATAAACAGATTTAGAAACTTACAAATTAATCATTTTTTCTAATGCTGAATTTAATTTATATTTTTAACATGTGCAGATGCTACACTGATAAGAAATGTAATATCAATAATATATATCTGAGTATTGATTTCAAAATTGTATATCTAATATTTAAATCAAAATATTAAATACAATGCATATTAAATTATAATTTTTATACAGAAAAATTCATAACAGAAATAATTAAGTCTAACCGCAGATGTGCATATATAAATGTAGCAAATTAGCACCTTAAAATTATCCCCAATTGTTTGGGGCTTTTGCCCTCTCTTAGTTTTGCTCTTATCTGCTCCCCAAGAGAATGGGGAGCACTCTCCCGAGAGAGACAACAACAGCTGCTCGCTAAATTGGTCGCATGTTTTGGAAGCAACAATTCCGATTTAAGTGCTCCACTGCCGTCAACCGAGCTCCATCGTATTTTTTGCTAAACGCGGACGCGTCGTTATTATACACAAATCAAGGAAAATCAATTCGGGTGCCAAAGTGCGTGCAATAAAAGTGTCAAATTAAGATTAAGCGAAACCCCCCTCCAAAACAAAAAGAAGTTCGAAATGGAGCGTATTTTGAGGGGAATTATGAGGTACAGGAATACCACACGTGAGCAAATGGTCAAAGAGTTTCAGAAAGTGCGCGATAATCCAGAGGTGAGCAATACGTTTATAGGTCAAGATTTCGGAACAAGTTGTCTAGAATTTGTTCACATTCACAAAATAAACCTTAGAACATGCTTTTGTCTGTGTTTATATCATTATCACATTTTTTTCGACTTGTCTGGCGCAAACCTTGCGCTCTCCTAATTAGCTCTCTTTATATCCGCTCTCTTTTATTTTTTATTTGGTAAACAAAAACACAGGCAAACCGGTTGACCAACAATTCACCCCCTGCCACCCCCCATTCGTTTGTTTAATAATAAATTTAATTTGTTATACCTAACTGATTGCTTTCGGGTGTTTTTGAGTTTAGTGCAGTGCACCTTTGGTAATTATTAAATTAATTATATTCTAAATGAAAATGTGTTTGGGCGTTTTTGGTACAACGATGGGAAAATTCACTAAAACATTTATAAAAATTGCAGTTACTTTAAAAAAAAATAAGAAATGAAAGGAAAATAAAATACACATTTAACAATTATTGATGTTTCTATTTTGCACAATTATATTTCTAATCTATAAAAATATCACTATCTATTAAGCTTTAAAAATCTTTTAAAAAATATTAAAAATCCCGTTTTGCTTTAAAATTGCTCAGATAAAATTAAACATATATTAACAAAAATTTTGTAGATAATTAAATTATAAATAAGAAGCCCATAACTACAAGAAATCGGCAATCCTCAGAGCTATTATACTGGCCTCAATTGTATAGAGAATTTGGACATAAGTTGCACATGTCATTCCCAAGATATGCTCTCCCATCAATATACTCAATGTTTTCGAATTTCCTTGTTGGCCAGCCTTGAACCGAGCCCATTTGGCCATTTGCCAAGTATGTCATAACTTGCTGTGGCTATATTCGGAGTATATTCACGCACTGACCGATATCTATGTGTTCTAACTCTTGATACGCTTTATCTTTCAGCCGAAGGCCGTTTTCTTTACCTGCATGGACAGTAGAATGATTCCCACCCGGTACACGGACACCCATGTGGGTGATATGTTTGTGGGTGAGTAACTCTAGTCGCGGTGGGTTTTTATAGCTTAACATACCTGTCTATTCCCACGGATAAGTGCGTAATGCTGGCAATCTAATACCGCATGCCCAGCACTTCCAGGATGAGTACTTCAGCTGCGAGCCGGCGGCCTTGGAACTGGGATGTGTGGTGAACGACATACGGCACATAATCGTTTGTGGACACAGCGATTGCAAGGCCATGAATCTGCTTTATCAACTAAGGGATCCCGAGTTCGCCTCCAAGGTATACTTAGCTTATATTTTAACTCAAAATGTATTAAATAATTACCTTTCTCCACCAGCTGAACCGTCGTCTCTCTCCTCTTAGATCCTGGCTGTGCACCCATGCCAACACTAGTTTAGAGAGGTTCCAGGAGTGGTTTGATGCAGGCATGAAGCATCCTTTGGTCTTCTCTTCCGAGACACCTTTGCGTCGCTTTGTGGCCTACATCGATGAGGAACAGAAGTTCGCCGTGGAGGACAAGCTGTCCCAGATCAACACGCTGCAGCAGATGTCCAACATTGCTTCGTACGGATTCCTTAAGGCTCGTCTAGAATCCCACGATCTGCACATCCACGCGCTGTGGTTCGATATTTACACCGGTGACATCTATTACTTTAGTCGCGGGGCCAAGCGTTTTATGCCCGTCGATGAGGACACCGTGGACCGATTGTCCGAGGAGGTCAGGAGATTCTATTCGTAGGCACAGCCGGCGGACGAACTGGATTATCTGTGATATGTGGGCCTTATACCGCGTTCGGCATTTACAAGTGACCAACCTTTAGGATTGTTTTGCGTATTCATAAGTGTGTAATTGTTTTTTGTATATAAACTTAAGGCCTACGAAGGTTTCAACTTACAAATCTACGAAAAATCAACGAAGGAGATGACTATCCATCGCTCACTTACTTACAGGTTGGCGTAACTAAAAAAAGCTATTTAAAGATTAAGTTTACATTGATCTCATGTGAAGATGGTTGTAACAAAGGTATAAGCAGTATGTTCTGCACCAGAAGTCGTTAGGCCAGCCTGGCAATAAGTGAGCGATTTTTACATATATACGTATTTATCATTACGGGAAGCGGTAAGACTTTGGGGGCGGCACCTTGGGCGCTTCGATGTGTGCACAACATTAGACGGTTTTCATGTCTTTTGAACGGAGAACGGCAATTGGGGTTAGGGAAAACAACGATGTTTCCTGTCGCCATCAATGGTACTTGTGGCCGTGGTGGTTCATGGCACTGTTGCTCGGGTTCTCCAGCTCCTCGAAGTACTTGCGGGCGTTCCGAATGTTGACCAGTGTGGCCTCCGAGGGCAGAGTGGGGTCCGACATGACCACCATCACGTAGGTGTTGCTGGTGAAGGTGTCAATGAAAGCGGCGAAGGCGCTATTGCGCACCTCCATCGACTGGAACTTGGCTCCCAACTTAGAGCAGCTAAGCTTGAACTGCTTAATGATGTTGGACACCTTCTCGAAGCGATGCGAATCGCGGTTCTTCTTGCTCTGGCAATGCGAAATCACCAGGAAGGTAGCCTTCTCGAACAGCAGCACCTCATCGGCCTCGATCACATTGGCGAAGTGCGTCACCGAGTTCTCCAGAGCGGCCACATTCGGTATCAGCATGGTGACAATGGAAGACCAGGCTCTGCAATCATTTAGACATTAAGGATGGCTTTAGAAGGTAACTTAGCCTCCACTAACTTGTAAAGAGTTTCATCCCAAATGCTGGTGCGGAAGCAGGTGACATTGCCCGGCTTCGACAACTTGATGAGATCCTCCATGCGCTCCGTGAAGACGTTCTCGCGATGCTCCTCCGGCACCAGATCCATTTTGTGCACCAAACAGAAGATCTTGGCCTCCGGCGAGTTCTGGAGCAGGGCCTCCAGGCAGCTCTGGTAGTAGTGAATGTCGCGCTCGATCTCCTGGCTCTCCACATCGAACACATAGATGAGCACCTCCACATTCCGGAAAATGTTGTCCCGCTGCTGGGCAAAGTACTGCTTCATGAAGCCCTCCTGACCACCGCAGTCCCAGAGATTGAGCACCAGGTTGCCCAGAAACCGCACATGCGAGTGCTCCACATCAACTGCGGGTACATATTACAGTTCTTATATCAGTGCCCCCTTCTCGATTATATAGTGTTACTCACTTGTTGCTCCAAGGCGTGTCGTATCACGGGCGATATAGTTGGCGAAGATAATGGAGCGCATGCTGGTCTTCCCCGATCCGCTCTTCCCCATTAGCAACACCTGATAATGCAAATATATTGTAATCGAATTCTTGAACTGGTTTAGGCAAAGACCCCACCTTTTTCTTCATCGTGCTGCTAGTTTTTTGGATCTCCAGGAAAATATTATAATCAACAATAAAAACAAATAGTAGGCTGGGTTAGAGATGTCATACCTTCGATAGCTCGGTTGAAGATATCGATAGTTTCGTTCCAGCCAGTTACCTATTTGAACTGGTTCATATACCGTTATCTTGCTACAGGAACAACCGATTTTAATTAAAAAAAATTGAAGTCTTGCAAAAGCTTAAAAAAAATTGCTGGCGTAAGAAATAATTCTAAAAATTCATAGTGTCAAAATTGTTGATAAAAAAATACTGTTACTATACATTTGTTTTTATTTTTAAGCATATGAATTTCTGCTTTAAAAATGTTACATTTTATGTTTATATGAAGTTCGAATTATTTGAAATTCAGTGTTGTAAACCTAGTTGTTCATCAATACAAGAACCGATAAGGTGCAGTCACAGGGAGCGAGAACAATTCAAGGCCGCTTAATCGTCCACCTCTAGCTTTGAGAAAATGCTGTAGCTTCTTTGACATGTCTCTGTACAGTTCGTAGAAGGCACGAAAGTTCCCAAATGCCATCCCAAAAACCTTACGTAACGGTGAAAATTAACCCCTAAAATGCAAAAGTGCACTAATTTCAAACCGCACAAATGGGCCAACCACCACCGCCACTTGAGGCCATCGCTAGCGTGGCCGCGTGTCGCGGTGAATGGCGAAAAATCGCAGAGAAAACATGCTTAACAATAAAAAAAGAAGAAAACCAGCTAACGCTGGCTGATTGATATAACGAGGAACGGCGGCGTAAGAGACAAAAATTATAACTTAGTGTAGAGAAAAAATCGCTGCTTGCGAAGAAAATTGTGGTGGCGAATTCCAGGCGATTCGATGAGGATGAGCAACATAAACATAAACACAGTGCCCAGGCCGAACCCAAATGCCAATGGGAATCCAGATTCAGCTCGCAATCCGCACCCCAATCCCAATCGTAGTGTGGACTCCGAGGAGGAGGAGGAGGAGGAGGGCGATGGCCGGATGAGCTCGCAAAGTGGGAGCAGCACGGCCAGCAGCCAAGGGAGCAGCAGCTCATCGGACTCCGAATCCTCCAGCGGTGGTTCGCCGGACGAGGAGGACCCCGATGGCGAGGACGAGGACATGTCCGACCAGGATGCGGCCAGTGGCTCGGAGACGGAGGACGACACCACCACCTGTCGCTCGGACGAACTGGAGCTGGCGCAGCTAAATGGAAAGCAAGTCTTCCGGTTGCCGCGGGGCCTGTGCGAAAGTTCGGCCATCTTCCATGAGTTCTTCTCGCTGGACACCTGGCAGCTGTTGCCCCCTCATCTGCAGGCCCGTCTACAGCCCCTGCTGCCGGACTTCTCGGGTCTGGTCTCGGGACAGGCTCAGGCGAGCGCCGAGCAGCAGCGCACCCTGGTGCAGCTCTTCAATGGTGGCCTCCAGCGCTTTGGACAGTCGCCGCTGCTGCAACTCCAACGACAGCTGGAGGTGGGCAACCTGCGGCCGGATGTCCTGCAGCTCCGCCGCAGCATACAGCACTCGGGCAGAAGGGAGTTCCGTTTCCAGCAGGCCGAACGCCTCAGCCAGCTGGCCAAGGAGCTCTTTCTGTCCAGGGAACAACTCCTGCAGCACGCCTACTCCTCTGCCCCGCCCGCCGAGGGCACCTTTGGCAAATACCTGCCCAACCCACGGCCCCGCAAAAGGAAGCCACCCGCCCTCTCCATGGAGAATCGATTTTGCACGCAACGAGCCAAGAAACGCTACGCACAGGAGCTGCTCGAGCTCATGGGCGAGCTGGATGCCAAGCCCGGGGACATCAGTGCCGAGGAGGACGAAGAGGACGAGGAGTGCGCCCAGTTGATGGACCGCCTGGCCAAGGCACCGCGGGAATTCAAGCTGGAGGAGCCAAAGGCTCCGGAGCCGGTTGGCCCTGGCCGACCATCGAATGCGGCGGACAAGAAATGCATTTACAACACCTTCTTCAAGCGGCGACCGGGCGTGGACGATGACCAGGTGCTGCGCTCCATGCAGACGGAGCGGATACCCCAGCTCAACGACATGAACTTCCGAAAGTATTTGCGGGACTACAAGCGACGGAAATTGGAACAACCTGTAAGTTGTGGGCATGTTATGTAAACACAAATTGTGTAGCAAGATTCTTTTGTTTAACAAATTTATAGCGTTCTAGTATTCAGAAAATGAGAACAGAAGGGCTGTTCCGTGCTTTAGTTATTTAATTTTAAATAGCCTATGGGTTCACAGATTTCTAATCCATTTCCCATTCTAGGAAAGTCCCGAGTTCGACACTTCGGAGGTGCGTCTGCGAGACATCTGTACTCGTGCCCAGTTTGTTGGAAGCTTCAAGCCAGGTCGGAAACCCAAAGCGCTCATGGCACGCCTCAATCCGGATCCACCTGCCCTTGTGCCCATCGGAGGGGCGGCAGCGAAGGGCGAGCTTGCGGATGAGGAGCCCATGCTGATGGACGAGCCGCAGCAGCTGTACGGCCGTCGGGCGCCGGAGGATCAGCCGGAGGAGCAACTGCCAGCCAAGGATCAGCCTGTGCTTATGCCAAAGAAAGTAATTCCCGCACCAGTTGTTCTTCCCCATCCGGTACCCAAGCTGGAGCCTTTCAACGGACCCATAGCCAACTCAAAGGCGAGTCCCACGCTTACGACCAATCCATCGAGCAAACCCGCGGCTGTTGCTCCTGCAGCCACTGGCCATATCACCGGCAGTCCCACCCGCGAACTGCCGATTCGTCCGCCAGCCTCACCTCGCCCCGCCTCCTTCTTCTCGCTGTTGAGGGATCTGTTTGTGTCCACGCCGCAGCATCGGCTCACCTACGGAGAACTGCAAATCCTGCTGGCCAGCTGGCGGGAAACCAACTCGGATGCCTCGATACCCACCGGGGAGTGGCCCAGATTCGTGCCGGATTGGTCCAAATTGCTTCAGTCGGCTATTAGCTTCATATCGGGTGATTCTGGATCCGTTCCGGCGGACTATGTTCCCTATATTGAGCACAAAACTCAGTTGGGAATCTACCAATGGATAGGCGCTGGCCGGGATTCCGATGCGCGACTCCTCAGCCTGTGTCAGTGTTGGCTGCGAACCCAAAGGGAGGAGCAGTCGCAACTTAGTCCTCTCATGAACTCGAATGCTCATCTGAACGCTTTGGTGGATGCTTCGCCCACGCCTCCGCCCAGATGCCCCACCACCTGGACCGTGCGCTCAGCCAGCCAGGCGGAGATCCTGGAGTTCCAGCGTCAGGAGCGGATACGCTTCGAGTATCCGCATCGACCTTTCACCTATCGCCTCAATGGGTACGAGAGTGTGGTGGGTCCAGTCAAAGGAATCTATACCCAAAGTCTGCCACTGAACAAAGCCAGGGGTCATGCCGTCATGGTGGACGACCGGCCGCCGTTCGTGACCATCCTGACGCTGGTGCGAGATGCCACCGCCCGGCTGCCTAACGGAGAGGGAACCCGCTCGGAGATCTCGGAGTTGCTCAAGTGCTCCCAATACGTCAGCTCACAGGCCGCGGATAATGTGCTGCAGACCATCGTGAGTGGAGCGTTGGATCGGATGCACGGTGGCCAGGATCCTTGCGTGAAGTACGATGCCAGGCGCAAGATCTGGATATACTTGCATCGCAATCGCAGTGAGGCGGAATTCGAGAAGATGCATCGACATAACCAGTCGTTGGTGAAGCAGAAGCAGCAGCAGAGGAAGCAGCTAAACAGGCCAAAGGTCCCTGATGGCATTGAGAGCTCCGGAATGGCCGTGGAGCACCAACAGGAGCAACCACCCGCCCTGGTGCCCGCAGTGGTTTCGCCAATTCCCGCTGCGGTGCAACTGCCAGTGGGTGCTTCTCTGCAGGTGAAGAAACCACTCACGGTTAAATGCCCGCCAGTGCCGCCGCTAAAGTATCATTTACCGCCTGGAACGCCCAGCACGGGAACAGTGGTGACAGCCTCCTCCTCCTCCAATCTTAATCCGAATCAAATCCAACTACAGCAGGTACAGAAATCTCTGCTCAAGCCCGTGAGCATGTCCAATCCAGCTCCATCGCCCGTTCAACGACAGTTGGTCACTCCGAAACCTGGCAGCTTTGCGATCTCCAAGATCAGTCCTACGCGGAATACTACGCCCATACTGGTGTCCACTCCCAGCGGCCTGCAGACCGTACATGTAGCCACGAATCCGACTCAAGCGGCAGGAGCCGCTGCGCAAGCAGTGACCAAGAAGCTGACCATCAAGAAGCCCGCTCCCAGCAACAAGATAGGGAACTTTATCATTCCCCTGGAGCAACAGCAGCAGCATGTGCAGCAGCATGTGCAGCAGCCGCAGCAGCAGCATGTGCAGCAGCAGCAGCAACAGGGTCAACATGTGAAGGTGCAACCGATAGCTGGAAAACCCAAAGCACTCACCATCACCCCGCGTCCCCAGATGCCGAAGAACATTATCCGACTGCTGCCTGCTGGGGGATCCACAATAACCGCCAATCCGGCAACGAGTCCCAAGCCCGCCTCTGTACAAATCCTTGGACCCCGCGTTGTGCCGCAATCCCAGACCGTGCGACCTGTTCAGCAGAAGATCGGTGCTGTGTCGATTGTGGCCAGCAAACCACCGGCGACTAGTATTTCCGTCACGGAAACTTCAAATCCCGTGACCATCACCGCCAGTTCGCCTGTTACGGGGGGCGGAACCATCGTGAAGATGTCGCCGCAGGCATTCGCCAGTCTCCAGCAGCAGCAGCAACAGTTGAAACAGAAGGTGAACAGTACTAGTCCTGCCCTGAACTCACCGCAGCAAAGGATTATTGTCGGTAAGTGTGCTTAGTTGGGAAATTAAGAATCCGCCTAAACAATGTCCTTATTGCTTCACAGGCAACACGGCCATTTCCTCGAACAAGAAGATCGTATTCCAGTCGCTGGCGAAAGCAGCTCCAAAAATACTCACCACATCGCCGAGCGGCGCGGTGGCCAAGGCAACCACGAATTTGTCGCCGCAGCAGCAGAGGATCGTGCTGCAGAACTTCAAGCAACCGGTGATGGCCACCAACCAGGCTGGAACACTAACCGCTCTGGGAGGAAATGCAACGCGTGTGATTCGAGCAACTCCAGCGACAGCTGTGGCATCTGGCGGCGTAGTGGGAGTGGGGAACTCCCCTCAAGCTGGTGGTCAAATCATCACTCTGGATAGTCTGCTCCAAAAGCAGTCGGCTGGGGGAAAACTTATCGCCAACTCTGGCAACAATATCTTTCAGTTGGCCACATCGTCGTCGGGGAATGTGATTACCCTGAATCCCAACCAGACGACCAAGCAGTTGCCCACCATGGCACGTGTTGTGAATGCGACCAGCACGACCACTACAGCTGGTGGCACGTCGACCACCATGGTTCCAAAGATCATTGGCAAGACGACGGTGCTGCCGGGAAAACCACTGCTTCTGCACGCCAAGACCTTGAAACAGCTGGGCGCCAGTACTGTGGCCACAACCACCACAACGACAACCACGGCGGTGACAGGAGGAGGAGGAGCAGTGGTCACCGGCTCTGGAGTTGTGAACTCGGCCGTGCGAACGACTCAGAACATTGTGATTGGCGGTCAGACTGTAAAGGTGCAGGGAGCGGTAAGTTATCCCAGTATTATCATCACATAAAACTAGTCAAACAAACTATGTTAATTTCAATGAAAACTATGTAAACCTTACCTTTTTTCCATCTATCTTACGCCAATATATAGGTACATACAGCTGCGCTCAAAATAATAGTAGTTTTATAGCTTATGGGAATAGCAATCGAAAGAAGAAGACAAACTTTTACATATTTACATGAAGCTAATACTTAAAACTAAACGATGCAAATATAAAAATCTGCACTTAGATTGGGCAAAATATTTTTAAATGTTTATAAAAAGGATTGTTAAAAAAATTTGTTTTTCACTTTTTATTTATTTTCTCATCAGATCGGCTATTAACAACCTTTTTATTACAATGCAAAGTTCATATCAATTAGGATAGGTTTGGCTATTTTCCTAAATTGTTATTAAATTATTTACTGCAGTATATTGAAAAGTGAATTATAAGGAATTTAATTTTCTTAAGACAAGTAAAACTATAAGTTTTTTATAAATATTTTTTGATACGCAATTTTTACAATAAATTAAAAGAAGGCTGACCCGTATCTTAAATGGACGCTTTCAAGCACTTTTAATTGTGCCACTCTATTATTATGACCACAAATGTAGTACTATAGCTAAAATTAAGAAAGTATTTACATTTATAAATTTATTTTAATGGATTTCAAATTCCTTATCTCAGTTACTTTTAAAATTCTGTATATTATATGAACTAAAACATTAAAATGCTTATGTTACAGATTTCCGCTCGGGGTACCGGCGCACCTGTACAGACCGTCATTATGGGCAACCAGCTCCTCCGGCTGGCCACCAGCAGTAGCAACAGTGGGACCACCACCTCTGGCGGATTGGCGACGACGCCCAAGACGCTGCTAATCGGTGCGGGAGGCACCCAAACACTGCGCCTGGCGAAGAACATGCTGGTGGCCAACAAGCAGATCGGCAGTAACGCCAACAGTAGCATCGTGAGCACCACCGCGACAGCATCCCCAGTGGCGACTGCGACGGCTGGGAACAATCTCGTGTTCGCCGTGCAAGGAAACGGCGGGCAGCTCTTCTTCTCGCCGGGATTGCAGGGCATGAACCTGAAGCCGCTGTCCAGCCTAAAAGTGATACCCATGGCCTCGGCGGCGGCGGCAGCGGCAGCTGGTGCATCATCGGCGGCAGGCGGGAAAATCTCCGTCACGACGGTGGCCGGAGAGGCAGGTGGAGGCAAAGCGCTGACCACCAAACTGATCCCCGCCACGGTTCTCAAGACGGCCACCGGCAGCGGCAACTAGGAGGCTCAGGAGCGGAGAGGCTTGTTAACCACGTTTTTTACCCTTCCTTGGTTCAACTTTCTTCGATTTTGTTTTAACAGCTCGTGTAATTTATCTATGTAGGCAGAAAGTTTGCAAATATTGCTTCGTACTAAGTAAAAATTTAAATGGACAGAGATAGAAATATCCCATCCAGCAACCAATTTTATGGAACAGTTTATAAAATTATATATATAGAGACATCCAATAAAACTCAGATAAAACCATAGAGTTATTGTTTCCTTTCTGTACAAAAATAGTAGTAGTAAAGTAGATTAAACAAAAATAACTTATCTTAACAATTTTTAAACTAAATTTGAAGTTTATGAATATACTTTATGATTATACTTTACTAAAATGTTTTTCAATAATAAACAAATGATTGCTGAATCGGAATCTGGACAAGCCTATGGCTATATATTTGAAAAGTTTACTGTTTACATAAAAGTTATTTCAAGATTAGGCAAACTAATCTAAGAATTTGAAGCTATGAGACTCTGTTGGAACAAACAAAAGATGAAAATAACAGCACAGTAAATAAGTTTTTAAATTTTTCTATTCAGTAAATATCAACGATCACTCCTTCTTCACACTCTTTCACATTCAACAATTCGTAAGACTAAAATCTTGAGTTAAATTTAATACAATAAAAACAAACTTTTATTACAGCATGCGACCGCGAAGAAAAGCCGCTGAGGCAGCAGCCAAAACGGAAATCAAAGTGGCTGACATACTGGTGGCACTACTTTTGGCATTTTGCGGTTTACACGTGTCATCGAAATTCTTGGCTGGACCCAAACAGCCCGCATAGCTCATCACATAGGCCAGGTAGTTCTGCTCGAAGACGCCACGAATCAAACTGGAGCCAGGACCAGAGGCAAAGACTGCCACATCCTCGCCGCCATGGGTTTCGTCCTTTCTGGGCACCGTTGCCAAATGGCGATAGGTGGGAGCAGTGCGCTCCTTCTCCGTAAACTGCTTCAATGACTTCCAGAAGTTTGAGCTTTGCTTCGGCATTGAGTCATTGGCCAAATGATCCCAATAGCCAGGCCCATTGGCATACGATATGGTTTCGTAGACCATGGGATCATTTTTCTCATGCGAGTTGGCTGCCCCCAAAATGTCAGCTCCACGAGGGGCATAGCCATTAAAGGTTACCGCATGGGAGTGATCGGCCGTTACCAAAATCAACGTTTTCTCGGGATCAGTAGCATTCACAGCTGCTTGAATGGCCAAATCGAATTCGTAGACCTCATGGAGGGCAGCGCGGGCATAGTTCATGTGGTGGCCCTGATCAATGCGGCCTCCTTCCACGAGGAGCACATATCCTTTGGACTTGTCACCTCTTTCCAGGACTCCCAAGGCCGTCTCTGTCATCTCTTGCAGGGAAGGTTCCCCTTCCTCCCTGGCTATGGAGTAGGTAATGTGATTGTTCCGAAACAGACCCATTAAATGATCTACATTCTTAACATCCACTTTGAGGAGATCCCTGCGGTTGTGCACCAAAGCCGGAGGCACTGAATCATTAGCATGATGGGCCAGCCACTCGGCAGGAAGATTCCTGTTATCACCACGCTTGCAAATAGTTTCCGTGGGTCCCTCGAAATTGGTTGTCCGCACCTCCGACACATTGAGGATACCCATTGGAGACATACCTCCGCCCAGGATCACATTAAAGCGATTTCCGGGGGCATTCTCCACCAACTGACGTGCGATATCCACATGAATGCCCACCGATTCCTTGGGAACCTCCGTGTCGCATTCCCAATTCCTGTCGTAAATATGGGCGTAAGTGGCGGCGGGCGTGGCATGGGTGATCCTAGTGGTGGTGACTATTCCCGTGCGTTTGCCCAGCTTTTGGGCCCACTCCATGACGCTTTGAACGCGACCTTGCTCGGCATCCGTCTTCGAACGCGTGGCATCCATTCCAATGGCTCCGTAATGGGTTTTAGAGCCCGTGAAGATCGCCGTGGCCGTACCCGCCGAGTCCGGAACCTGTTTGTCCACATTGTAGGTCTGTTAAAGAAAAGTGTTTATTAAATATATATATGGTACATAAAATAAATAACAAGCTAAATTATTTACGCTTAAGTGGCTTTCACTTTCATTGCTTATGATTTTCCGATCAGTTCTGTATTTTTAAGCTTATAAAATCCATTCAAGCTTTACATATATGTAAGGTGAGGTTAAAGAAATCAGAGGTAGCAAGGTTTTATTAAACTATTGTGATTATCAGAAAAAAGTTATTAACTCATCTTTGGTTTTACTTTTGATTGAATTATTTAAAATTAAGTTTCTATTAACTGTACATGGGTATAATCTGTTTAATTTCTAATTCATTTAAAACCAGAAAAGCAGATGTCCAAAGAAAGAAAGTCAATTAAAGAAAGGATTTTAATTTTAAATTAAATTCTGAGTTTTTTTTTTTTTTAACTTATAAATATATTACGGTATTTATAGCAATTTACCTTGGCCATTCCAGTGTTCGGGAAGTCATCGAAGACCAGAGTCTCCTCCTCGCCATGACCGTGCTTCAAGTACTGCCCCTTGTAGATGCGACCGGCACTGATCGTCGATACACCCATGCCGTCTCCAATAAATACGATAATATTGCGGGCCTTTTTCTGGTAGGAGCTCTCCTTCACCCGCTGCGCTTGCCTAATGGTTTTTTCCAACTGCCTCAAGCCCATTTTATGCCAGAATTCCGCATCTGAAATCGGATGGGCAACAGGAAAATTAATTAAATCTAAATCGAAATGGAGATCGTTGGGTAAGTCAACAAGTCACGTATTAATTGCCCATCTCCAGTGATATCCAGTTGGCACTTGAACGATTCTAGTTCGACTTTTTAAGTACGCAACTAGTAAGGGGATTTATTTTCGCAACGAACGTCGTAAAATTTATAAAGCTCTTCTACAATTCGGTAACAACGACTTTTCTTGATTTATGCGCTAAAAGCTAGCTCGTTAATTTTATAATTTTTGCATTGTTTACTGTAAGCATTCCAGAAATCAGTTTTTCCGTCTATATACTAATCTTTATTTATGTATTCATTTGAATTTAAATTAAGCAGGCTTAATTTATATCTCGTTATCTTTATTTTATTTGCTTAATTTATACGATTCTGCCTTTTAGTTGTTCAAGTGGATGCCATCATTTTTTTTTTAATATTCAACGTTGTAAGTTTAGCTTAATATAGACGGTTGGTCATTAAATTTTTTCAATTTTAATTACAGATTCAACTTTAACACTGAGTTTTGTGACAGATATATAAGGGAACACTATAGCGACTACTTAAACAGATAATTTCTGACTAATTTCAACTAAAACTAGCTAGTTAGGCTAAATGTAAATTAATTTTTATATAAATTTAATACAGACTTAACACATATAAATTGTATACCTATCTACGTTTAATATGGAATTTGGAATATAAAGTAATTTTTGATTTGTAATTTGCATTTCCTTTTCACGATTTGGAACGTGCATCAACTGATTTACTTGCGGTGATGATTATCATTTCGCGATATGTAATTAATATTCAATTGAGGTAGCTTAAGTATAGGTGGTGTACCCCAGGCACTGCCACCTACCACCCACCGCCCACCGCCCAGCGACCTCGACACTGAGACAGGTTACAGTTAAGCTCCGCTTGTTGACTGCTAATTTCGGCTTGTCAATGAAATTAAAAGTCTATGATCAATCAGTTTTTTTTTGTTGACTTTTTGAAGGGGATAAAGATGCATTTGTGAACTCAAATCAACCAATTAGTGGAATTAAATAATTGTGGTAACGTTTTTTCGCCTTTAAATTGGTTTGTTCGACAACATTTAAGTGCCTGTTTCATAATAAAGTTCAATTTGTAAAGCTTTTTTGTTCCACTAAATAATATACTTAAATGTCTGCGGTTAATTTTTTTTCTGTTAAATTTGTTCAATGAGTTGCAATGACCTCTCACAATTTTAAAAGTAAATGTCTTTTTAAGTGCTTAAGATAGCGCAACCTTGATAGCTTAGAATCTCGTTACATAATAGAACTGTGGAACCATTCAAGTTCAAGTAATTTAAATTACTTCACGTTCTAAACGTTAATGCTTTACACTGGTTTTCGCACGTTTGTTTAGGAAATTTCCGTTTAAGAAAAGTGGCAGTTGGGATTTCAGACTTACCTTCCGGTTCCTTGGGTTTTTCGACATTGAACCTTGGTCCTATATCCCCTCTAGCACTTAGGGTTCGAATTAGAGGGGGTGGCTGAGTGGTGACTGCCGCCCAAGTAACTGCCATCAGGCCGCCACATAAAATTCCGAATAATGCGAAGGAATGCATTTTTCAAAGACGCACAATCGCGAACAATTGAAGCCGACTATTTTTGGTGCAATTGCGAGTTCTATTTAAATGGAAGATGGAGATTTATATCACAGCTCAGCTTGAGGCGCAGATTCTTTCAGCAAGCCATCGAATTTTATCAGAAGTGCGCGGAACGATTGCGTCTCGGGGTTGTCTAAAATTCCCGTGTCCCGTGTGGATCTCAATTAGCGACTAACACCGAAGTCAGCCCGCAAGCGTCGTTATATGGCAAATTATCCATCCAGCCGATCGGCCAGTGTCGAAGCTCGAGCACCAACACATATATAGTAGAGAATAATCGTTTCGGCAGTTGGGGCAAGGCACTTGTGGATTATATCCAGGGCGCTTATAAAGTATTATTATAGTCGCACGGGGGTTTTTGGGCACGTACAATGTGTTCGAGTCATTTTAATTACATGGTTTAGCATTTAAACACAAACTAAAAATAGCAAACAAATTTAGGTCTATAATTAAATTATTTAAAAAATAATAAAAGTTTTGCTATTCAGTTATGCCCCATAAGCCATTAAGTAATATTTTCAATTTTAAAAATGTACTATTCAAAAATATAATCAGTTTTTCCACATAGATGTAAGTCCAAAAAACAATAAAATAAAATTTAAAGAATTTATTTTTTTGAAAAGTTATAAAAAATGTCTATATTCTTATCATGTGTTTGATTTTTATTTTTTTGTTGTTGATTTTTATTTATACTTAATACTTATTAGGTGCAGATTGCTAAAAATGTCTTTGATATTAATAACCTTAAAGCATTTTTTTTCATTTTTAAACATCCAGCCTGGTTACAGGATATCTCATAGTCTACAAACTAACTTAAAAGCAGTTAAGTTAGCCGCTTGCACTTGCAAAACGTTTGTCTCAATTAAAAATACGGCTCCGCCGAGATAAATCCATAAAAACGTGCAAAGCTTTTACGAACTAAGGGCCCCCGCACCAAAAACACTTAAACGATCATTTGTTTGCCCCGCAATCTTGCCCGGAATTCTCCGCCGGATCCCGTGCCGAAGAGCTGATTTACGGCGGAACATTCACGTGACTGCTGGTCGACTATATCTTTTTCTTTATCTCGTCCGATGTCTGCAGACGGGATTGCGCTGCCGTTGTTTGTCTTCCTCGGAATTGATAAAACAACAACCAAGGGGTACCCTCGCCGGCACACATTGCGTATGCGTGCTATTTGCACTTGCCTGACTTTGGACTGCCATTCGGCAAACATTAGAGAGAGTTTATCTTCGTTTTGAGTGACTCTACCCTCGACGATCCATAATGCCATTTGAATCCCACCTTTTGTGATCTTTTTATAGAGCTAGGCTTCTTCATAATATTACAAGATCCGAGCAATAGAAATAGAAATGGGGGCTATTGTCATAGGTTTATATTTTAATTCTATTACCCGAACATGTGCGTCTGATAATCACGTTTAAGTCTACTGAGCGATTCGCTTTGTTGAGTACTTGGAAAATGTACATATTATTTATTCCAGTCAATCATTAAAAACAAGAGTTTTCCTAAATATTTGTACATTTATTTCAAAAAAAAAAATGGTGTGTATTTTAAATGTTTGATAAACTTGGTTTTGTTTGAAGTTTAAATATTATGACATTTATGACGGGAACCTTAGATGGCATATATAAACATATGTGTTTTGCCTTTCACAACTTGACAAGATCATTAATATTTGAAATATTGCTCTGAGAAAAATCACGTGCTCTTTTTATGCGAATTTTTGTAAGTGTTTGCAAAAGACGAGAGGTAAGATTAAAGTCAATATTAAAGCTTTACTGATGATAGATGTGGACACTTTGAAACACAGAGCGCTGTAAATCTTTATCTGCTCACTCAGAGTATTTGTATTTGTTTTCATCCTTGTGCGCACGTTTTCAGACAACATTGCCAAACAGATAAATTGAAAAAATATGTGGAAACTCCACCGCAAGTGACGTTCTCTTTGGGCCCGTAAATTGTTATTACATCGTCTCGTGTTGATTGTTTACGCTTGACTAGAGAAGCGACTGAGATACATACCTTGCCTCAACTTTGTCTCAAATATCTTAGTTTTGTGTAAATAAAATTTTACTAAATATTTTTCTAAAAAAAGATTTTGTTTCATATCAAAATTAATTATGTAAAAGTCCTTGGTGATTTCAAAGATTATCCAAATGATCAATAAACTAAAAATCAAATAAAATTTTACAAACAATGTTAATACATTTTCAAAATATTTTATTGGTTTATCAATAAACTGCAACTTACAACTCTATACTTTCCCACCATAAAATAGTGCCCCTTTTCCAGCCCATCAAAAAAGGTCGAATATAACTGTAGCAAGCAATAATTTTGTTGAGCTATTTGCAGCCTGTTTTTAATGAACCATTTTTCATGTCACGTATAAATTTTTGCTAATATTGCTGGTGAGTATGGGTGTGTTTTGCCTAGGGGTTTTCGCGGAGATATTCTATAGAGTGTGTACCTACAATCGAAAGCTGTAAAATCGCAGGTCACATTTTTCATTGTTTTTTGACTAGCATTAGAGAAAGTGTTTTGTAAAAAATTGTAACTAAAGCTAATGTCAAACACTCAAATAATTTGCACAAACTATATGGACAATTTAAAAATATTTAACAATATTAAGCCTTAGATAAAATATTTATAAAGTGCAAACATGTTGTCAATAATTGTTGTATTTTATTGAAATATTCAATAAATAATAATGTAAGTCCCTATAGTTTGTGCTAATACATTAACGTATCTGACGTTACCTTAACAAGGAGTACAACCTAACGGGTAAACGAAAGTCGAAACGAAAATCATAAAAATATAGTATTTAGCAAAAATTGCAGTCTGCCCACTATGAGAACTTCTTGGCGGTGAATCCTGCCCGCACATTACTGGTTGTGGCCGACTTCACAGTTGTCCTGCTCGTCTTGGTTAAGGTTGTGGTGTCATTACTGCTGATGTTGCTGTTGGTCTTTGTCGTCGTGATGCTGTTGTCCGTGTTGCTGTTGCTGCTGTTGCCAGTGTTGCTGTTGCTGTTGGTGCTGCTCCTTGTGACCGTGGTGATGCTGCTGCTGCTGGCACTCATCAAAAGCGGACGGCGCGGCGGCATCCGTTCGTTGACCGCATCCAGGCCCTTGGCCTCCGCAAAGGAGTGAATGTGCGAGGATGCGGTCAGTCCTTGCAGAGCTGCGTGTATACATATTCAGGAGAAGGTAGAAAGGAGCTCGATAAATAATCATTACCACTGTTGCCTTGGCAGAAAATTTAAACAGAGCGTAACTCTGAAAGTATTCTTTGATGCCCATTATCTTGATAATTTCTTTTGTCTCATTTTATATATATATATATATATATAGTCGTTCTGTATAGTCTTTCTCGGCTCATAAACAATTTTTGAATCGTATGATTATCAAAAAAATATATCTCAAATAGCCAAAAATAATGGGTTTGACTTACCCTCTTGGAGGGAATCCCTTCCGCCGGACAAGGCGCCCACTGGCAAGGCGCCCGTGGGCGTCAGACCCTTCAGCTGGAGCACGCTCTCCGATTCCTCCCTGTCGGGGATGTTTAAATGTTAAATAAAATACATTTTTGATGTTCTAGCAGACGGTATGCACCTGAGAATGGAGAAGACGCGCGACATCTTACCAATGGCCCGTATCTTATTCCGTATTATCTCTTTGCGCAGCGCCGACATGGAAGCTGCGAATTGAGGGCTCAATTAGACGGAATCTCTGTGGTTCACGGGGGTAAGTGTAATGGAAATCAGCTGGAAAACTCGCAGAAAAGCCGATCAAAGCATGGCGCAAAGCTATCACTAAGCTTCTCTATCTTTTGGCTCAGGCATTTTTTGTTGGCTCAGGCATTTTTGGCAGCGGCTGTGGCATTTGCATTTGCATTGGCATTGACATTGGCAGAGGCAGAGGCTGCGACTTTGGCTTTGGATTGGGCCTGCGCTTAACACCTGGCTTACCTGGCTTACTGGGCGTATTATTATTATTGTTATTACTCGCGTTCGCCGGCACGAGCACAATTTTCTTGCGGAGCTCTTTTTTGTCGTATCGTTTTTGGTTTCAGTTTGGTTTGGACGTGTTTTGAGTGAAAAAGTTGGTTTGGTGTTGGTACATATAATTATATTATGGGTGGTAGTAGATTGCAGTTGTTGTATTTCAGTTTTTTTTGTTTCGGAAAATATTTTTAACAGAAGATTAGTTTGTAATGCACGTGTATTCGTAATGTCCCACAACAAACAAAGCACTACGACATTCACACACAGTCTATTAAGCGAAATTCCACTCTGTGGACCTCTCAACTTACCTTCTTCCAGCTCATCATCAGGTCCTGCCACAAGTTCGTCGTCCGAACATATATTAAGAATATTTACCAACATCTCGGTAACCTGTGTGGCAAAACAGATTGCTTAAACTTAGCTTTATCTTAATAACATATAATATCTAAAGGTATTATAGGGCAACCTAGTTTGCAAACATTTTTTCTTACGAGTAAACCTTTTAATCAAAGCTGCAAAATGTTATAATTCGATTTAATGATCTGGAAAATGGATTTTGAAAAAACTCAATATTCTGATAAAAAATTTGTTAAAAATATTAAATTTTTTTAAAAATAACTTTTTTTAATCACCTTTTCACCCACAAAGGGCAGCGACCATGTGAAGACGTCCATGAAGTTGGGCAGCCAATATGGATGTGGCGAGCAATTAAACTGGCGGATGTTCATCACGTTGTTCTCGTACTTGAGCACAGCTGCCTTTTGTCAAATGTTTTCGTTGGGTTGACAAAATCAGCGCGAGCGGAGAAGGAGACGGGTGGTGTGCCAGAGAAAGAGATCGGTAGATTACCGGAGAAAGAGAGGGAAGAGAAGATATTACGAACGCAGCGCGATTTAAACTCGCACCAGCTCGCAATGCAGCCAAAAAAGATTTCGTTATTTAAAAATAGCAAGGGAAAGAACAACAACACCAAAATAAATAAACAATCCAGACAGAGACGGACTGATAGAAATGTAGAAACAGATAGAGAGAGAGAGAGAGAGATATCATACCTTGTTGTTGTAAACATCCAGATAATTGGGGGCGGAGAAGATAGTGATCAGCGATGGGAAGCCCGTCACCTGGTTCTTTCGATACATACGGTAGCTATAAAATTTAATAGAAAATTAAAGATTAGATTTAAACTCAATTTAATGGACGCCAAATCGATTTTTTTTAATTAATAGAATAATAATATATCATATACTTTTTCGCCAGTAAAAATTAATTGAAATCACTAGACATTCATGTGAAAACGTAGGTGCTTTAAATTATTATTAAACTAAAGAAAAAATAGTTTTCAGGTTTAAAAGTGTGAATGGATGTGTTAAAATTTAAAATGGAATAAGATATATAGAAATACTATGTAAGATAAAGTATCTCGGAGAACACCAAATAATATATCATATCATTTCATAATATTCCTTTCCTGTTAGGGTGAAAATTTTGAAAAATTTTTGTTCGTAAAACAAATGTATTTTAATTTCAAAAAATTAAATTATTAAATCTGTAAACAAAAAAGTATGAATATAAATATTTTAATTTAAAATGAAACAATGTAAGTAAGAGCAAGTACTATTTGGACAGTATTTCTAACTTATATTGGTATTCTGATATTCTGATATCATGCTATCTAATATTCAAATATTAATTCTGATGCTACACCATATTTTACAATCCAGAGCTTAATATATTCTCACCCCGCATCCTGGGCCTCATGGGCCCGGACTATCGACAGCAAATTGTTCTTCTGCAGGAATTCACAGCAGGCCGAGTAGCTGAAGAAATAGGAGCAGCCACGTACCGAGTTGTGGGAGAAAAACTCGTTAGTTTTCTCGTTGCCAAAGTCCTCCAGCGGATCGGACCAGAGCAGATCGCACATGGGTCCGTAGGCCGGTGGTTCCCTGAAACGATTCAGCTAGGAACACCCACCCACACACGGATGCATTATGGCCAATTGTAAACATTTCAGCGCGCTTTTATTACCGTCTTGATGTCGTCGAGTGTGAAAATCTCGGGCGACAGGCCGCCGTGAATGCAGAGGAACTGCTGATTTAGGAGGGCAGCGAGGGGTAGGCAGTCAAACGCCTCCATGCAGGCGTCGTAAATACTTTCCGAATACTTGATGATGCCTTCAACAGAGCCAAATTAATGAATTAATGAAAGAAGGGAGATTTATTGCTTGCAGTCGCATTTTAGAACACATTAAGTGCCTATGCAACAATCGTAAAATCCGCGAAACGTTTTAATTTTAATTTTGTATTTGGCAAGAATGACTACTATAAGTTTTAATATTAATATTAGGACAATTATTGAGCCTTTCTAAATAATAATCATCATCATATGACTCATAAGTTACGAACGCAATGAAAAAAAAGATTACTTACAACATTCGTTCTTAAATGTTCTTCGACAAATTTTATATAAGAAAACTTTTTTTTAAGAAACTAAAGCTTTTATTCTGAAATATTATATTATATATATTTCAGTTTAAACTTACATTCCTGTTTGAAGGTGAAGTACTCTGTGAGGTGCCTGCACTCGTGATTTCCTCGCAACAGGGAAAGTGTGGTGGGGTAGGTTATTTTCAGTGACCATAAATACAGAACGCACTAAGAGACAAGGAGGGTTCTTTAAAATATATCTCTAACTATAAGTTTCCTTGACCCACCTCTATGCTGAAGTAGCCCCTGTCCACGTAGTCGCCCAGGAAAAGGTATCTGGTGGTGGCTGGTGGACCGCCCACCTCGAAAAGCTTTACGAGGTCAAAGAACTGGCCGTGAATGTCACCGCAGACGGTAATGGGTGCCTCAACGTCGATCATGTTCTTCTCCTCGCGCAGCAGGGCGGCACCTTCCGTGATGATTCTCAGGGCCACCGCCTCCTCGATCCGTCCCTCCAACAGAAAGTGCTGACGCAGGACGTCGAAGTTGGGTTTTCCGGTCTTCGGATCATCGTATACCTCTGACATGGTCAGTTTGTGGGCGGGCGGCAGTGGCACATCTGAAGGGTACACATAAGAAAACATATTGAATTTTAAAGTCAAATAAATACGATTGGTATATGTCGATGTTAGTCTTAAGAATAATTTCTATTTTATTTTCAAGCGAAACGTTACTGAAGTTATAGAGATCAACTTGTAGAACCACATATTTTTATTATATACAAAAAATTTGGGAGCAAGACTTTGAATATTTTCCAAACGAATATAATGTCACTGGCTTTTTATTTAATTAGTTTGTTATTGTGGAAAGACGTTATACAAAATTTGAAAAATGTTTTTAAAAATATTTAAAGTTTAGTCTACGTTTGGCATTAGGGTCGAAGATTCTTTAAATTAAAGAAAGAATCAAAATAAAATTCAAGTCCTAATTTGCATAGTTGTCAAATATTTATAATTTTCACTAAAAATGTAACACAAAATTAAAAAAAAAAATTTTAAATAACGTATTCTCTAATATTAGGTCGACTTATTTTTTTTGTGTAGGCTTTCATTGATAGAATTATGATAAACATAGCTGTCTGATGGCGATGTGGGTTAACGAGCTGCTGCAACTTAGCGCCAATATTCGGTTTGGCCGCTTTTCTTGGCCCGCCAATAAAGAAAACCAAAATTCCGTCAGATGCAGCCACATGAGGTTGGTACGCTAATTACAAAATTTGACTGAGTGAATATAAAAGTCGAAAATTGATTGGCACACACAAAAACAAACAAACGTGAACACACAATTGCAAAATTACACATATACACAAACACCAGGGCGAACGCCATTTTTAATTGTCATAATTTGGGCAAATGTCTTCAATTTTGACGCAATGGCCAATAAAATGCCAATGTGTTGCAGTTGTTGTTTGTTATGGGTGCTCAAAGGTAATTAAATTTATTTTTATTGGCCCAATAAACCGAAGAACAAAAGCAAGCGCCTCGTTTGAATTTAAGGGTTTTTGGCTGCGATGTCAACTAAATGATTAATTAAAACTACATTTTAATTTTATGGCGGAAGTAAAGAATTTATGAGTTGAACAAAATTTGTTTTTGGGAATAGTTTTATCAAAAATGATGTCAACTAAATGGTTTTTTGGGAATATTAATCAGTAATAATAAGTTTTGAAAAAATGAGTATTTATATTTATTTTACAACCTTTTAATTTTCCAGTAATAATTGAGCTTTGTAATGTGTAATGTGTAATTTTTTATCTTGAATCATGCAATTTTTGGGTTTTAGTGAACCATTTTTTTTAGAAAAATTATTTTATCAGTAGAGATAATACGAAAATGTTTATGTCTACATGTTACGAAATAAACAAAAAAAATTTTTAGATTACAAAATCTGTATAAAATTTAAATATTAAGTAATATTATGAGTGATTGCTTGTTTTATATGCGAACTCAAAAAATTTAACAATTATGTGTTATTGGTATTTAAAAACAATCAAACAATTCAAAAATGAATGCCTGATTAACTTATCTTCAAGAAAGTGCAACCAGTCTGTTGTTTGCAAATTTTGAGCATGACTTCCTAATTTTAAATGCATGCTATTCCGAAAACATTACCTCTGCTCACTTAAAAGTTCAAAGAAAACAAATTGAGAAACCCTCAATTTTGACATTAATGTCGGCGGTCAGAAAATCAGAATGTCATTGAAGCATGATCGCATGTCATTAAAGATACAATCCCGGGAGGGACTCGTGTTTGGGTTAATGCATGATTGGGGTCTGAACTATTGTACTATATAGAGATCTTTACCGTCGACCATGCGCTCCCTGGTTTTTGTGTACTGCATTTTCTGTTTGTTTCCACCGGCGGCTGGCGGGGTTTTCGAGGAACTCGACGAGGACTTTGTGGATTTGTCTGCGCTGGCACTTTTGGATAGCGACGATTTTCTCGTCACCGAACTTCGCGTAGAGGCCGACATATTGTTGGATTATTTATTCGGCCTTTCTCTTTGTGTTTTTATTAATTTTTTATGTGCTGCTGGTGTTGAGTTTGTTGCGATTCCTTTGCCCGATATCTATTTTTTAATGGCTTGATTTTTTTGCTGGTGCTGAAAGTGTTACTAGCACAAGAATTTAGAATATTATACGCCTTTGCCTAGCGTCTTTATGGACGGGACACAAACACACAACTCACAAATATATTTAGGCAATAAATAAAACTTGTTGTTATATTGTATAGCTGTGGACTTCTTGTATTTTTAGCCAGGCAATGCCAATAGCGAGTTAGAGACAACTTTTATTTATTATTTTGCTCACAGTGCTCGGCGCACACGAAATAAATGTTGAACAATTAATATTTCAATTTGCTGCAATTATTCAAAGACGTATTAACTTTTCATTAAGTCATCACATTGTTTGGCGAATGCTTTTGGCAAAGGGCAGCGCTGCACTTCAATTGAGACGGAAAATTGCTCGACACTTTGTGCTAATTACCCACAAAGCGAACGCGCCCCGAAATAGAAATGAATTTACAAATAGACGGGCAGACAGGCACACATATATCACTTTGGTCACACTTTGTTTGCAGCTATTATTATTATTTTTATTATTTTCTGGCTAATCCTTGCGGGCTTTTGGGGTCTTACACTCGATGATTTTCACGGGACACGACGCAACGCATTTCCCAAGTTGGCGCGACGCGAATTTCCTCGAAACTGAGCGAAATTCGTTGGCATCGTTTGGCATCCAAAGACCCAATTTGAAAGCCCGAACAAGATCGGCGGCGATCGGCAGATCTCTCGCCCTTGACTCCCACTCTCCGATGAAATGAAAATAAAAATAAACCCCTCTCGCGTAGGGTTCTATCTATTTTGTTTTATTTTTATTGGGTTAATGTGACACACGCACTTCGGGATCTTGGCATTTTCGTTTTCATTTTCGTGAAGCTGCTGCCGCTGCCGCTGCCGCTGCCGCTGCCGCTGCCGCTGCCGCTGCCGCTGCCACTGCCACTGCCCTTCTGCGATCGTTGATTCGACGACCTTCATAGACATTTACACATCTGTGATATGTCTGCCCCGATTCCCCGTTCTATATTCCACTCCCCATCCACATCCACATCCACATCCACATCCGCTCTCAATGATTTTCAACTTGACCGTGATATTGATTGTGTGTGCGTGCTTTGTGCGTCTGTGTGTGTGTTTGCCAGAATTGGGCGCCAATAGGTGGGTGTCGCTATAATTATAGTCTTGACTTTGTGCGCGCCTCGTGCAAAAATTTATGCGTTCTTTCATCAATCGGGTATATTGGGGTTATGATTAAAATTTAAATTAATTGATGTCAAAAATCGAAAGTGAAACAAAATAATTTCTTTAAATAAAAACTATTATAACTAAATTATAAATATTTATAATAATTATTAATATAAATTATCACATAATTGGGGTCTTGTCATTTAAAACTTTCGTCCGAAATATAATTTTTTGAGTATGTTTGTAGTATTTCACTCTACATAAAACATTTTAAATTTCGCTATGAACTATAGTAAAATTTTAGTTATTTAATTTTAACATTAGGCTATAGCAATTATCAATGTAATTTATTAAAGTTTATATATGATAGGGTATCCCACCTTCTTTATGCCATTCAAAGCCTTCGATTAGTGGAACCGATTTTCATGCAACTTTTATGCGAAGCGTGGCAATATTTTAACAACAATCTGTGTGGATGGCCACATAAAAACAAAAAAAAAAAAAACAAAAAAAAAACACCCGCACAAACAATATCAACGAGTGTGTTTGTCTTCTCAATGTTTTTTGTCGCGATGGTCAATTGATATGTATGGCGGTTGAAACGCTATATCGCTCGATAGTTCCACAATGTACCATATATGCTGGGAACGATGTTGTGGCCGCTTTTCAGCACTCGGAATCCATTGCAATGCCAATGCACTCGCCACTGCCGAAATGCGCATCGATTGCTGGTGGCTGGTGGCACTTGGATTTTCGATTTGGCAAAGAGCAGAGACGATTTTACTTTGACGCCCCCGCAAATGGCAAAAGCGTAGAGAGACAAAAGCGAGTCACACGACCGCCGCAGACTAGAAAGAAATACTTTCCGGTGCTAACCAGTGGGTGGGATTGTGGGAGATTAGGGGGTTTTAAGGGGGCTGTAAGTGGTTGGGAGAGGGTGGTGTTGAGGGGGCGGAGAGGTGCTGTGCGATGAGAGCAATGCATTCTCGTCGCGAAATTTTGGCAAATGCGCTGACAGCTCAACCCAGTCCAGCCCCCTGTCCTTCTTGGGGTGTCCACTGCTTATACTAAGTACTCCTAGAAGGTTTATTAAACTCTCAGGGGTATGTATATTTTGGTCACCAATTAATCCTGAATAAGCAGTCTTTAAAAGTAAACAGGCCTATTCCCTTGAAAATGATCTTTTTAGCTAATTACTGAAAAAGATTTTAGCTTATTTAAAGCTCAGTCTATACTTTAAAACATATTTAAAATTTTATTGTCCCTTTTTAATACTGTAATTTTAATGAAATTCGTGAAATGATGCTTAATCTTTTTTATTCATAGCTTTATTGATTTTTAGATAAATATATAAATTAGAAGTAAAGTTGTAATTTACCATAGATTAATTTTTTAAAAAGCTATTTTTAAGTCTAAACTTTAAAGACCATTAATTTTAAATATCGCGATTGTTTTCACTTAAATTTATTCTGCAATTAACAACAGTTTAATTAAAGCTTGGTACATTTATGTTAAAATAAGTAAATATTTATTTTACATGGTATTCCATAATCGTACAATTTGTCATACTTTCAAATAATTTTTATTCCGATATGCGGCTATTTTAATAGCCAAAAATATAGGTGGCAACATATTTTAAGCGCAATTAAGAGGCGTCCCAGAATCAGCTGCGCGGGAACTGCGATCATCTGCCCGAGATTAAGTGGACGACACTCGCAATTGATTCACCCCTAAATTAGAAACTAGCATATCGTCACGGCTAAACCAGAGCAATTGGATTCTGTGTGTGGCATATGCTAAGAGATTTGCTGAATAATTTGCCAGTCAAGTTGAGTCAAGTTGTTCGCATTTCATCGCCTGACACTTTGAACACCCGTTTCGTCTTGTCGGCATGTCACAAAGTCTTCGGGCCGATATATATTTTTCTTTTTTAGAAATAGCAAAGTGCCAAAATAGCCAGCGCACTGGCCAAGTATTTTTAAAACAATGTTTTTTATGCTCGCACGCAAGTCCAATTGCTCGCTTCCTCTCTGTGCACATAAACAAAACGCCACTGAAATAAAAAGATAATATTGACACATAACGCAAACATTTCATTCATTGTTTGAACTTTTTTCTTCGCCAAACCCATTTGTTGTTGTTTAGTTTTCGGTGTTGTATAAACAATTCATTTGAATTATGTGACCACAGGCATGGGGTTATGTGTGAATGATGGCCGATTTGTGTGTTATTCAGTGGCCAGTAAAACGAAACATTTAAGCAGTCACTTCCTTTGGGCATATCTAAATCTAAATGAATTATTTCAATTAGTTTTCGAGCAAATAAAGAGAAAGCTGGCGGCCCGCGAAAAGCTCAGCAAATTCAGCCACCCAATCAAAAGCTTTTTAAAGTGCACAGCTCAGCGAAAATGTTTTTGTTCTCCTACACTTTTCCCCAGGAAAACCCTTCATGTCTGCCGCTGCCATTTTACAAATTGATAAACTTTGCAGTTATCATTGTTTATGTATCTTTCTGGCCCAGGCTTTCATTCCCTCTTAACCTTTTGAAGTACATCTTAGCCCTTTTCTCCCTCATCATTGTTTTCTCTGTCGCCTGCCAAACATTTGCCCAGCCAAAAGTTTTTTTTTTGCTCACATTTGTTTGCTTGGGATTTGCCAAAAACAGAAGCACCCAAAAGACAAAAAAAAAACACAGAACTCAGAACTTCAAATATAAAAAGGCAGCACGAATTTTTATTGAATTGATTTATTGACTTACTTATTTGGGCGCTCAACGCTCATAGATAACCGATGGTTTCTTGTTGCAGGGAAACCTTTTTCTCAATTTTCTTTGTTTTCTTGCTGTCAGTTGCCAGCAATAACAAGGGCTCAAAGTAAATATTTAGTTTTCATTTATACAATTTTCCCCAGCCTCTGGTTTAGCCCCTTAGTAAGGCCAATTTTGTGTTTAACTTTATTGGGGGTTAATGTAGGCCCATAAAAATTTTGTTAATTGAATAGTAACCAAGAGGGCATTTTTTTTTTTGTGTTTGCACATTATTTTATTGGAAGTAGTATCATTAAATAAAAATATGTATTCTTACGTGTTTACATTTTTTTAAATTAGCTTACACTGTTTGTAATTTAGACTGAAGTCTAGAAATACAAGTTGGCTAATAGAAATAAATGATAATTTGATGGGTATAAAGTTAGTATTTTTTATTATACAAAAATACAATTAAAAACAGATTACAATTTGTAGAGGTAATTAACAAACGCATGCAAAACTCATATATTGAGAAAATTTTGTTTATATTTGTTTTAAGCTCTATTCATAGCTATGAAATAGTAAAAAAAACTTTTGCCCAACCCACAATAGACTTCGCACGAAGCCATCGAAATTCAAAAAGGTAATCGCCCTCGGGAAATGGAAGAATTTTGGTCATTCGGTAATTCATAATCGATATGGGCAACTTTTCCAAAATTATGTCGTGCTAAATATAATTAAATTAATTAATCATAATATAATACCTAAAGTTTTAATTCGACTTACTGTAAAAGGGCAGGAATGATTTACATTGGAATAATTCATGTATGAATCGTATATAAATTTTCCGACTGGGCTTGATTTTGGCTTGTCAAGAAATTTGCAGAAATCCACTGTAATATTGTATAGGAACGGCTTGTATCCGTTAAATCTTTTCCACATTATTAAATTCACCTATTATAAACGCAATTTAATAAATAACTAGTGTAATTATTAATTTCAAGATCAAGCTATTTTTTCTCATACCGTAATTCTTGAAAGTGGAATTTCATACAACTTTACTTTTCCGGAAATATATTTATAGCTGCGATTGATCGACTTTAAATAGCAGTATTCAAATTCGGCTATTTCTTTTTGGTTAGACGTGCAATTTACGTTTGTGAACTCAAATTTACAGTAGATCTTTAGATAAAATAAAAAATGGTTGTAACTAAAATATTCTGGAAAGGATATATTTAAGTTACCTCTAAACTGAACAACATGATTGTAAAAATCGAGATCGTATAAATTGCACCAGCACACATCTTGAAATATCAAAGAACAATATAATACTGATTATTGACAGAACTGAAACAAAATATTTAACTCATTATCACTGAAAAAACAATTTAAAATAGCTTTTCATCTACAAAAGTGACAATCACAAAATATGCATATTCAATGCCGCGGAAATTTTGTTAATCGATTAAAAAAAACATTGTTTGTCTACTCATAATTTTATATAATTTATACCCGGTTTTTATTCAGATTTTTTTTTTAAATTTTGGATAGTTAAAAATAATACTTTTTTAAAGACTTTCAGCATTTAAAAGCTTAACCTAAACTAGGTTATAGATCATAATTTTGTTTTCGGTGTGTACATCAATTTTATTCAGAGCCTTATTATCTTCTTATCCAATAATTATAAAAAGGCTAGGCTGAAATGAATAAATTAAAATTATAAGCTTTCCATTTAATTTGATAGCACTAACCATCAGAAATATAGGAAATAGTATCATATATTCACATTTGTTTTCTAACTAAATCTGAATTAATTATTGTTTTTGACGATAAAAATCTGCGGACCCAAAAAAAAAAATTTTAAAAGTATTATACATTTTTTTGAAAAGTCATTTATTAATGAATAGTTTTCTTTAGATCACCAAAAATGTGCTACTTAAATATTAAGCTAAATATTACATTAAGGTATTAAGCTACTGTACCAACCGCTTATCCCGTTTTGGCAGCCAGTTCTGACCAGTTTTGTGCTTCGGGCCAATATCTACGATTTGGGATATCTCGTTATGCCTATCACGTTGGACGCATTAATTTGCACACATGATAGCCCGGCACCGTATTTCTGTGGGTAATGCAGCTTGCCGCTAGATTTGCTTTATATGGGCTGCAAATTGGTTGCTCACGTAAATGATTTTCATTTTCCAATCATAAAATTACGCGTGCCTGCACTGCCAATACTCACCTGCCGGGGGAAATTTTCTGGAAGTCCGGTGAGTTGAGGGAATGCGTAAACATTTGCGGGACTCACAATTTGGCTGCCGCTGATTACAATGCGGCGAATTGAATTAACATATTGGCCGGCGGCCGGAATTACGGCTCTGCAAGCTCGGGATACGTTATACGGGATATGGCTTAAACTGTCTACAAATAATTTTCCAAGGGGATGGTGTGGGTGACGTTGCCATTATTTATGGCCCCATGCGCGACTTGTTTGCCTTTGTTAATGACGAGGCGAAAGTATAAAGCACAAAGTGCCGACAATTGGTAGCAGCTGAAACAGGAGCAGAAGCAGGGCTGCCGAAGCTGTGAAGCTCGCAAAAAAGTTAATTAAAAGTGCAATCAAGCAGCGGGCCCGGACCGCAGAAAGCAGCAGAGAGAGACGGATGCAAGGCAACAGAAAGAGAGGGGGCGATAGGGCATCAGGTCCTGAACGATGCTGACATTTTGCCTGCAACGTAGACGACAAAACTGAAGGCAAGAAAAGCAATTTTCACACAGGAAACATAAGCGAAGACATTTTTATTTAATTTTTCCCTTCATGGTTATTTTTACATATTTTCTTTAAGTTCTTAAACATTTTGGTCAGAAGCGGTAGCCTTGAAAATAACGTTTACTGGCGGTATTAATACAACTTTTAGGATGTTTTAAAGAATTAAAGAAGGTCATTTAAATAGGCTCTATATTTGCATCTGTTATATTTAAAGATATTCTTAATATAGAAATCTTGACATATCTTGTTTCTTAAAAAAAGGTGTCAGTCTGACTTGACAGCTGATATCATATTTTTTTCAAGTGTATCCCCGAACGGTTCATGGGGTCATGTGGAGCATGTTGTATATAAGTTTCATCTCAAATACGAGCACGTCGAGTGTGGCAATATGTGAGGGTTGGTGCCTACCTGGCGCATCGCACAAATTGCTGCAATTATAGACGCCATAAATTATAACAACTTAAAGCTTTAGGTAAAAGAGTTTCCTTTCCAGAAAACATAAAAAGATAAGAGGAGAAAGAAAGCGGAAGCAAAAACGAGATGAGACTTTGGAAAATGCATTTAATTGATTTCACTGCTCGTCCTTGGCTTTTCTTGACAGGCAATATAATTTTTATTGCTTCTCGTTTTCAACGAACAATTTTTTCCTCCACTTTTTGCAGGTGCCAAAGTTCCCTTTATTATGATTTATGTGGTGGATGATATGATATGATGATATGATAAAAATAAATGTATACTTCTTGGAACTTTGCAAGATTAATTTATTAGTTTTCTATTACTTTACTTGACTTTTCTTAAGCTTGATTAGCAGCTAAATAACGAACTAATACGAATTAATTACCGTCTTATATTCATTTGCTTTATCATACTCAAAACATGGATCTGGCTGCCGAACTAACTGAATATTCAATGTAATTGTGTTATACAAAGGCCGTTTAAGTTCAATTAAATGTGTCCGAAACCAAATACCCACTCGCTTGGGGAATACTTGTGGTTTTTGAACTGTCAACACATCAATTAATTAACCATTAGGACCGCTTTCATTACGTACCCTGACCCTGCTTTTTGAATGTTCAATCCGATGTTTGCGGTTGTCATAATTACCAGTACCATCGCTCAACTTCAACTGCTTGGACATCGGACAAATTAAGTTGTAGGTTGTGGTTGTTGGTCAGCTGTCGAGGGTGATATCCTTTTGGCCCCTTGGTCCTGTACTTAATGTCCCATAAAGATGGCCACAAGCGCAAATATCGGGTAATTACGAACTCTGACCTTGGTTTCTGAGTGGCTTTCAACATTCTGATTCAATTTCCCGCTGAGCTTTCCTTGCTGGCGGCCAATGAAATATAATTTAATACCCCGTTGTATTAATTTCGTTTCCACTTCTTGGCTCCGACAAATTTAATAGCCCTTCTCCATGGCCTTTCCTACGGCGTGCTTCGCGTCTTCTAATAGTTTGCAAATCATATTTATTTATTAATTCTAATTGCATTTCCCAGGTGGAGAGGTGGAATAAATGCACGGGTAGATAGCCGGCAGCTGTGTTTTGTCTAACAAACGGAATTGCATCTTAAAGTCAAGAACATGGAGGCTCTTATGGTTTTAACCTTTTCTTAGACTTATAAAATACATCGATTCTTGGAATATCGAAATACCACAAAATTACCTTACTTTACATTTGTACTCATTTAAACCTAATTAGGCTTTACAATTTCAGAATTCTTTATTTTCTTTATCAAGTTTTTTGGTTCAAATACAATTCTTCATATTGTGGAATTTCATTAAATATTTTGCAATAAAATAAACACCAGTAGTTTAATACGTAAACAACATTTAGTTTTAATTGCAACCACAACCTATTTTATAACATTTTCGTAAAGTAATTGAAAACCAAGCAAGAATCCCTCATAAGCTTCAGTTTCGGGTGAGAGTATGAGAGGTTCCTGCCATTCCGATTACAAATTTATCTTGCTTTTCCAATTCCATTTTCCCTCCTTTTCCGGAGATATTTCTGTGTTTTAGGTTGTTTGCTGGGCACTCGTGTAACAGCTGCAGATGAAAATTGCAAATGAAACTTAGCTCCGCTCAGCTGAAGTAAGCTGAAGTGGAGTGGTGTGGAGTGTAGTACTGTGAAGTCCTGTGAAGTCCTGTGAAGTGGGGTTAAGGGTGAGCAAGACTTGCAATGGCCTTTGAGCTGGCTTGAGATCCAACGCTCAATGCACAAATCAACGTTAAGTGCATGTAACTCACACAGGCACCCACACACCACCCACTGCCCACCACCCACCATTCGAATGGCCTTTGCACTTGCTGGTGTCAAAGTTGCATGTTATTGGAGCAACATTATTTCTTCTTCTTCGTTTCAACACTGGTATGCGTGGGTGTTCGCCAAAAAATACACGAGTATGGGTACTTGTTTACAATTTAAATTAAGGATGAAACATAACACATGTACAAGCAGCAATTAGAACACATTACTCAAACTTTATAAGCCGGCATTGGAGAACTATTAAGCTGACCAAAAAATGTTTTTAAATAATACATATTGAATTTTCGTAGCCTTTTTAATAGGAGGTGTTTGTTCGGCTTCTTGTGTATATAATATAATTATACTTAAGTATTTTCGGTTTGAACTGGAATCTTCTTTGTGCTGTTAACAACCCTTAAAAAATAAGGTGGAACACAAAAATATCCAGCAATCTCATTAAAATTGTACAACATTCTAAGAAACTGTATATTTCAGAACTATTACAACAAATCATACTAAAACTTTAAACCATTCAATGTATTAGATATATTCTATATATTCTATACATATAATTTAAGTTGTGTATTTTAAAATTGAAACTCAATGCACAAGTATTTTTTGGCTCATTTAAACTGGAAATGTATTTACGAGAGGATTGTTCGTAATTTACAATAGGTATTAAAACAAGCCTTAAAAGAGAATGGAATATCTAAGAAACGCCTTTTACTCACAACTGATATCAACCCTAATTTTCCAAGATATATGCATGCATATACAAATGTTAGTTGGCTTTGAGGTTTCTTTGCGGTGAGCCCCATTTTATCGCTTTTGGCCAAAAACTTTTTGCCATCTACGAACACTGATTAATTGCATTTCAAGTGCTTGTGGGCGTGCTCAGGGGGCGGTGGGCGGAGATCGTCCGTGCAACCGCATGTGTAAACGAGCCAATTCATTAGCAGCATTCGACACAAAATCAGAATTAACACAATCTCAGTGGACGGGTCGTCCGGTTAAGTCGAAAACTCACTTTTAAAATTGCTCATAAACTTTTTCAATTTCAATGGGAAAAAATAATGGCGGAAGCGGTGGAACCGGAAAACCGGAAAAACAAAGTTGCCGAGTGCTTAACCAACACGCTGAAAATGTAGACATCAACCGCACTCGAAGCGAATGGCCCAAATGAAGTGGAACTTCTGCGGTGCCCCTGACCCCCGAAACCCACCACCCCCCTTGAAAACCCCCTTTAA